CAAGTTAGTGACATGTGTCTCTTAAAAAAACTGAATTTGTCAGTATATTTAAATTGATTTGGAATAATGTGTCTTAAAACAAGCAGGATGTACACAAACTAGAGATGTTACATGCATGCTTTCTTGATGTTTTTGGCAAACACAGTTGCAACCTCATGAAATAAAATACAATTTACACATTGCAGATGTGTCAAAACCATGCTTGAATTGCACTGGTGCATAGTGCGTTGAAAACAAAGCAAATTCAATGATACCACAACACATACATGATGGTATGCACTTTCATCAAGTACCCATTGCAGGTAACATATATTATTGAACATGAATTTGATTTCAAATACAACTAATGTAGCTTTTTTCAGGCTGCTCACACGGGGATGATTATTTTAATTTTTATTTATAATACCCTCAGGGCCGAAAAGGCATTAAAGAGGGGAGTGGATAAATACATGAAAAATACAAATAAAACAGCACAATAAATACAAATAAACAATACAATAAATACAAATAAAACAATACAATAAAATACAGATAATATTAACATTTCTGCAGAATGTATTAATAAGTACTTATAATGTGAAAATTGGCGTCACTAAATTACTACTGTGTGCTGCAATATTACGGTCATCAGTTTCAATGATTCTGGTAGGCTAAAATGACAGTACCCCTCACTCAAGCATCACAGGGTGTCTAATGAAAAAAAAAAAAAAAACATACGAGGCACCCACCTTCAACCACACACCATCCCAATAAAGCATGCAAGCTTCTGCAACAATCTCTGGAAACCAGAATCTTGAAAGCTATTGACCGCGATTTAGCAATAAGAATTGATGAAACTGATTTCCGTATTTGTATAATTCCTTGAGTGCCAATAGCTTGAAAACTTGCAGTCTATATTTATGATACTCAAATAAATACGGTGTCTAACTTCACATTTTAACAGCAATACGTGATTAACCTATGCATGCTTACCCTGATTTATAACATTATTGCCAGTTTTGAGTGATAAATAAAATATTCATTCTGCACATACCACAGATTCGGTCAACATCTGTAGCGCATGCCTAGAAAGTTTACTTTATCCAATATACTGTTAAGCTTGTCATCAATCAGAAAATTTTATTGGAGGTGGTGCTATAAACTATTCTTAATGTCCGTACACGTAAAAGTGTTTAGCAAAGTTTCAACAGCAAGGTTGAGTGAGGTGCATAAAATATTTAATAAACCACAACAAAATACAGACATAGTGGAAACAAGAAGAGTAAAATCGATGGTGCTCGAACGCATGAACTAATGACTGAATAAGTGCTCTCAAAGTAATGTACGGCAATTTGGCCACATTTAGCCATGAAATATTAGTTCGGAAATACAGTTCAGGATAAACGAATGGCTTGAAATGCACGGATTCAGGCCGCATTAGCTAACCTATGTTGCTGGTGCATACCGAAAGTTAGAATTTTAGTAAACGAGCTGCATGAACACTTAAGTGTAGGTGCAACCTTTGCGAGCCCTACCTAAGACGATGCAATATGCTGCACACGAACACGCATCAACTCAAGTATCACGGTAGTTTATAAAGATGCGTGCCGACGCGGATGCACACACCGGCATAGATTCGGCCACTCGCAAGGAAAAAATTGAGACGCCAAACAGAACCTTGCCAAAACTTCTCTGATAGTAGTAATAATGTATAAATACTGTAGCTGTATAAAATGGAACGTGCAGCAGACGAAACTGCCTTAGACACGTTCACTTCAATAGCGCACAGTATGAACAGGCATCAACGCCTACAGCTAACAAACACACCAGAATTAATAAACAAAAATAGTGGTCGCTCACGAGCAGGACCCCCCTCCAACACCACTGTCAACAGAGGCAGACAGCTGCCACAACTCTGCTCGAATCTGCCGCCGCATTCCCGCCACGCATGCATGCTTCACACTCCATACAAAAGAAAAAACTTGTCCGCGCTGAACTTCGCACTACTTTGCCTTTACACTGCTGAAGTACTACAGAAAAGCTGGGTCCCCATGTAAACAAAAGCTCACTTATCGTGCACATGGTAGGAAAAACGTAGTGAGGGATAACAAAGCGCCGACAGCAGCAGTGTGGTACATACCTGGTGAGTGCTCTACGGTATGAACCCACACGTCTTCGCTTGAGTATAGCGCATCTTCGTAATCAGTAGCACTGGCAGAACACCAAACACGAACACAAAGCGCAAGCACACTTCTAAAACACATGAGAAATCGACTCAAGCCCGCTTCTCCAAGAGGCGACATAGCGGCCGGTAAACACGTCCAGACAAGTAAAATTGTTCCAGCCGCGCAGGCGCACACCGCATTTGTGCATCTTAATTTCTTAATGCTGACTAGAGAGCTCAATTATTACATTTAAATATGTAAAAAGATATACTACCTAAACATGTAAAACAAATGTTATTTTGGTTCAAAAAAAAAAAGAAAGAAACGTTTTCTCAATGTCTTCTAAGAAACTTCCTTTGAAAAACGTTTATTCACCGTCAAATGTCCGCAGACCTAGATGTCCGCATACCTTTCTAGACGTTTCGAGAAATTTATACGACGTTTTGTGTTTCTTGGGTCAAAGTGTAGCCCCAGGCTGCATGAAGCGCATTAAAATTTCCCACGACAATCAGCTTATTTCGCTAAGCAATATGCTTGACTTTATTAAGAACAAAAAGGCATTGCTGGGCTTTTCTTTCCGGAACAATTTTGATGAGGGTATGTTCGATGAGATGTGCAACGACGTGATATTGGGTGATTTTTTTTATATATGGAATTGCCGTTCTGGTTTTGCCATCAGTGATGTGAGTATGGTACCCTCGGACATGAAGTTTTTTTTTTGCTTGTTTCTTCCGTGTGTTGCTACGTTCGAAGGAAGGTGAGGAGCTTGAGTATTGTGCCTGGTGACGTTGCTGCGATGTTTCATGGACGCTGCCCGACTTTCCAAACTCGCTGCCGGGGCTCTGCTGAGCTGGCGGCGTTGGTATGACATCAGCCATGTTCTTCTGCAGCTTGCGTCTACTGATGACCTCTCGCCATGGTCCCAACGCATCCAGTGTCCGCCCGCTGATGCTCTCGTAACACGTTAATTCAGTGTCAGTCACTTCGGTCTCATCACTAAACGTTCATGTCGCATTACTCACTTGTTGCAATTCCATCTCGTGCGTCGAAGCTCTGACCCGCAGTCAGGTTGTCCTCTGAGTGAAGCCTGCGCAAGGGTTTATCCCGTCGGCCGAGCCCGCACTCGTCGTTAGGGTTAGTACTTCAGATATCAATGCAGAAGTTAGTAGGCAGCCAAGTGCCTTAAAGGTTCACTTACAAGTGTCCAGGTGATGCCGCTGGTGCGTGCTTGACTTCCCAAGTTGATGACACTGAATTACTGTGTTATGGCACGGTTTAACACATGAATTATGTAAACTAGCAGCAGCATATGTGAGGCACCGTCCCATAGCGGTCTCTCTTGCGATATGGAAAGAAAAAAAAATCACAGCATATCCTTGGAGGGAGATGATGAGCGAGGCGAAGCGTTCGTCTGTCTGTTTGTGCGATCGTTCAACCGTACGTCCACCTAGTGAACACTCCAAGTATCGTCATCTTGCATCTTTTCATCATATACAAGTACCACCATCCAGCGGACATTCTAAGGACTAAACGAGAGGTGGCTACCACGGCCCCCCGAGTGGTCTCTCTTGCGATATGAAAAGAAAAAAGAATCTCAGCATATCCACAGAGTGAATGATGATGAGTGGGGCGAAGCGTCCGTCAGTCCGTTCGTGCGTGTGTTCACCCATCTGTCCATGCGACCGTCCAACCGTATGTTCATCTAGTGAACACTAAGTATCATCATCTAGCATTTTTCATTATATACAATAACCGCCATCCAGCGGACATTCTAAGGACTAAACGAGATGTGGCTACTACTACAAACACGGCACGTGTGACCTACGTCGTAAGGAGCATCGCCCCTAAAAAACCAATACGTGAGGAATGCAAATGTTAGGCTTAGCTTGCCTTTATTTTCGCACTAGGGCAAGCGCTCCTCAACTCCAGTAATGAGGTTCTAACCCCAGTATTCACAAACGCTCCTTTACTCACTCAAGGGCTCTCCTCGACTTGAAAAAGTCGATGGGATCGCCATCTATTGAAAGACCAAGTCACTGCATATCGGCAATATTCTGCAGTGATTCTTAAGAAGTGCAGCGTCAATTTCAGTCGAGCAGCGGCGCAGTGCTCAACTCGGTCAAGTGAAGGATGGAATTCGAGTCGAGGAGCGTTCCTGAATACGGGGGTTAGGCCCATATTCACAAATGCTCCTCGACTCAAACAATCTTTGAGGACTGTTTCACATTGCGATTTGTGCAACGCGAAAGTCTTAAGGGTCTCTTAAAGTCGAATTTTAGTCGAGGCGTATTTGTGAATACGGGCCTTCGTTTCATATTATGGTTGAAGCAACTCCCGAGATGTACTTCACCTTTACTTTCAATTTTTTTCACAAGCATTTCCAAGCACTGGCATGACTCTGTGGTTCAATACTCGAGTGCCAAGCATGGTGCTTGAGTTTTATTGCGGTCCAAACCAAAATTTTTTTTTAATTGTTTGCATTTGCCAAGATTTTTTGCTTATGAACAAAGCTATCAGCACCGATTTTCTCTGACGCCAGCTCCTCAAAATTATCGTGCCAAAAGCAAGGAAGTGTTCTGTCAATCTTGAAAAGCGCGCGGCACATTGGTTATTCATGTCTCACTTATTAGTGCCCAAAAAGACACGGCAGATAGAGGCACGGACCCAGCACTCAATATGTTGCAAGCCAGCACTGTGTCCACATCACTTTTTGTTTGTGTTCTTTTGTGCACTAAAAGCGTGTTCCTTTAACGTTTCTTCAAATTAGTAGGTAAGAACTACAGCAGAAAGATGGCTTGTGTATTCCTAGCATCACACTGTTATCGTGGTTGACAAAAGACGTAGTAAACAGATGGCAATGCTTTTTCTAGTGCTTTATTTCTGGCTCGCAATACATTCCTAGAACCTTGGACACCTGCGCAATTAACGATGACCTGTCCTACAAGGTAACTTCGGCCTCTCAGTGGTACTTGTAGTGTCGCTCGTGCTCTGAAACGAGACAAAGCACACGCAAAATGAATCAACTACCAGTTTGATGTAGTTTGCTATATCATGAACACATGATGACAGCTGACCATTAAGTGATGCTACCATGAGTACTGTACAGGGAGATTGGAATGTGAAAAGTGGGCAGACAACGTTTGCTTCCAGGAAAAGATCAGCGAGGCGTGAAATGTCCGCTAGTTCTTTCAAACCAGCAGGAATAACGGTCATAAAAAGCTTATTATGGCTACCGAGTGATTCCCAGAAGTGCGTTTCATCGGGTTAGTTGGTCAAACATGGTAAAAGGTAAAAAACAGGGCAATCTACAGAGGAGACGAAGTATGGAGAGTAGCACTCGCCCTGTCCGTTCTTTCGTACTTTGTCTCTTCTAGTTTGCGCCGTTTTTACCTTTTACCGTGCGATTATACGCCCGTAAATGATTGAGATTTTCATGATTATTTTAACACTGCTGCCGAGCTTTTTGCATTTCGCACGAGCCGACACATGAAAGTCATGGCTGTAGCGCTCTCTCGTTAAAGCTGGTAGTGCTGGAACGTGGCACTTTCTCAAGAAAAACAAACTGCCCCTGCTCATTCTTGCAATGCGCGCATATTTGCTTTTCATTGACTGCGTTCTTTACAAACCGATTATTGCACTGTCCTGCTGGCCATGTGCCAATCTATGATAAAACAAAAAACAACTCATGTTACGAAGCTTCAACAGGGTACGCTGCACTGATGATGACCGCGCTGCTAGCCTGACGAAACCCTCTCCCCCTCCCTTTCTTAAACCAAGAAAGCCACATGTTTACCAAGAAAAATGCCGGCTAAACTGGACTCTCTCTTGTGGCTCTCAAGGCTGTCTCCTTCGCAAGTGCCAATTACACTTTGGCCCATAAGCCACAAAAAACAGGAGATCGCCGACGACCAGAAATAACGTCAGAGTAAAAGCTTGCACACATGTGCACATCGTTACAGCATTCAGGCAAAGCTGGCAAGGAACAGTCAACGAGTCAACGAATTTAGTTTGTCACTCACGAGCACATGTACCAGATACCGGCCTTAAAGACATTAGATCGTGTACAAGTATCACAGCTACTTCAACCGTGTGAAAATGCTTTAACAGCAATCCAGAAAGCAAACGATTTGCCGTTTGTACGTCCATTAATGCTGGGATCTTCATTTAGTGCTTTCTTATTTTCACAGCAAAGTCTGTTCCAAGACACATTTAACTATTGCCGCGATACTGGGTGACCTCTTTAGGCAATTCACCACAGAGAAACATTAAAATGCAAACGTGCAACCCCCCCCCCCCCCCTCCCATAGATTCTTGTCTTCACTACTAGTAATACGTTCTGGATGTACAAGTACACAGATTTTCAGGGGAAGATGCCACTGTTATCAAACTGTTGATCAACTATAACCGTAAAGGGGGTGTGACACTTATGAAGCCAATATCACTTATGCTATTTTGACTTTGCTACCAACGTGAAACACCACATATAATATTAATAACTTTGCTACCAACATCTGTTCAAAGATGCCCTACTCTGATGAGTGACCATGTCAGCACCAATGAGGGTGGCAATCATACAAAGTCTTGGACAAGAAAACTGACAATTATTAAGCTAGTCAGACATGGTTGACCTCTGTTTACAATGTATCCATTCACAGACTATATAAATGAATTTGTCGATGCATAGTAAAAATACCCTCAAGGTCACTTGCACGTGACATACCAGCCAACTTTTTTTTGGGGGTAGGGGAGGGGGCTGACTAAAGTTATTTACAAGCTGCAGAATCCTCATTTTAGGCTTGCGATTAGTACTTACTACGTACTTTGGGCAACCTCAGTCCATTCCCAAGTTCATGGTTGGTAACTGCCGCAGTGCCACAAAGCTACTGGTAAATTTATTATCAAAAGCTTAATTAAGTAGCACTTGGGTGCTGGCACCAACAAACTTGTTAGCCTATATTGTAGCGATGTTGAAGGACTCAAGGGTATAATAAAACGTATTTATTAAAGGGCGAACCTGTGCCCACAACTCAAAGTGACTATGGTCGTAGAACGTTACAGGAGAACACCAAAGATGTCCTTCCCTGCCTTCTTCTTCCTTTTCAAAAAAAGTCACGAGCGCGTGGCGCACATCAGCCGGGTCCAGCTGGGTGTTCGTGCCATCATCGTCTCTGCGCAACACTAGATGGCGCGCATGTGTATCCCTGTGCATGCGGTGATGGGTGCATTGTTTGAATGTGGGCAAGATGTCACGGCAATATTAACTGCTAATTGTGCTATCGATAGCCTTGTAGTTCCAGTGATATTGACAAACAATTTTGTTGTAGTGGCTATCCACAAGACTGACAGACCTCATAAAAGCTTACAGAGAATGGAGGGCAGGAAGTCGGAGACCAAAGGCACTGTCCAATGTTGCCTTCCGCACTAAAGTGCCAGCGTATGTTACAGAGGCGATAAGGTGCAGTTTGCAGATTTTATGGTTTTGCGATGTTGATATGCTTGGACAACAAGAATTGCACTAAAAGGCATGTGGACTATTAGACATATCGTTCTCTTGAAATAAAACCAGCCCTGCAAAGCTTCTCGACCCAAATTTTAGTGATGCACACCCACTACACATTTGACTTCAACTCTTTGGAGGCAGGATAGCCACATCACGTAACCACTCTGTTTTCATTTTCCACTCTTGGACCACGCTATCCTGCGCGGTCGATTTTTAAACTGTACACTTTATACATACAGTCGAGGCCGCTTATAACGACACTGAGCCTGACACGGCATCCTTTCGCTGTATCCAGAAGTTCATAGTAAATGAAACACAGATTCTAAAAAAGTTGCGAGTGAAAACACAAAATTTTTTGGCCCATAAAGTCTGTGATGCACGTGTTTCGAAGAGCAGAAGCGATTCGGGCGGTCTCGAGTTTATTTGAAACGGCAGCGTGCTCTTCGCCAAGGCCAGTGGGATATGCTGCAAGAAGCACTGGCTCCAAAGTTTCGTCCTCGCAATCCGATTCCTCCAAATAGCTCTTGACACGTACTTAATTCACAATGCCCTAATCCGTGCACGGTTCTGCGGTGTCGGCATCATCATCGGCCATAATTAAACCATCGCAACAGTTGTCCCACCCGCTCTGCCAGGTAGAAGTCAACGACGCGCTGCCACAAATCGCCGCCAAAGTAGTCCTGTCCGGAAGCTTCAGGCTCAGCCTCGGGCCTGACGTCGACGAAGTCGGCCTCGCGAGAACAGTTTTGCACGCAGGGTGATTGCACAATAAAGTAATGTAATTCCTGACAGTTTTCTTGCTCTTCAATGCCTGAAAAATCAATACCGGGACGTCCGAAGCGGCAAGTTGGCTGCCAGGTGATCAACAGCTATGAGCAAGCGCTCCCCAACGTGGCATCTAACGCGTGGATTACGCCCAAGCCAAGCAGTCACACTTTCGACGTTTTGTTGAGTGGCAGGAAAAAGCGTGTAAGGCCTTCCGACCGCCATCCTGACCACACATGCACACTGAGAGCGAGCAAGACGCGCACACGCAACACACATGCCAGAATGGGTGGTACAGCTCTGCGCCCGTTTATAGTCATAAAACAAAACTTCTGAACTCGAGCCAGCGTGGCTGACGTCGCCGAGCGGTGGAGACGGGTGAAGGAGTTGTGTCAAAAGAGGAGAGCAGATTTGCAAAAAAAGAACAAGGAGTTGCGATAGAGTGAAGAGAGGGGAGGATACGGCGAGAACGCGACCTTGAAAACCAAAACATGCGGGAAGGAGGCAGGTTAGGCAGCTCGCTTGAAAGGTCCGCGAGACGCGCGTAGAATGCGCGTGCTGAGGTCGAAGCACAGCCGCCTGGATCGGCGCGCACGGCGGTGTTCAAAGAATTGGCGGCTGTGGTTAAAGAATCGTTTTGTTGCGCCGGCAGGTCCGCATGGCCTCACCGACTTCGGTATTTTGTGATTTGTTCCTAGAAAATCAACAGCCGTTTTTACACTTCCGCACGCGTGCCCAGGGCATGCTGAGCCGAGTGCGAAGTGAGCGAGACAACTCCTAAACACGAAAAGAATTGCGAATTATCAGAGTGGGTGGGGTAGCGTACGCGTGTGCACCAGAACGATACGACAAGACGCAGACGATCAGATACAGACAATCTTGGCAAATGGTCTGCTCACTCCAGGCCGGCGACGTTAACGACAGTACCAGCGATCAAAAACGGGCAAGATGGCCAACCAGTCTTCGAAAGATGGGTGGTAGTGTGAAAACATGGGCCGCGTCTGGCGAAAAGGGGTGCTCAGAGTAGCGGGGGGACAAAGGACGGAAGGGTGCGTAACAAAGAGCCGTCGGGGAGAGCGACAACTAGAGGGGCAGGGTCGGCATTTAACAATAAGAATCTATGGGCACCTCGCCGATGCCTCATCCGTGGTCGAAAGTGGTTTCCGGGAAGTTGCCAGAGCGCAGACTCCGTTCGCTGTAACCGATTGGCGTCGCTCGGAGACGTTTGTTGTAAGTGCGATTTTGTGTCCTTGAAACATTGTATATTTTCACTGTCATGCCGATATTGTTTATTTTAAGCGAGGCCGTTATATGTGGGCTCGACTGTATTTACATATTCTGACAGAGATGATGCTGCTTTGCTTGGATTCAATGTTACATGCTATGTTTGTACAGTAAAAGCTCGTTAATTCGACACCTGTTAATTCGGAAATTCGGACGGCTCTATTGGTCCCGGCCAAAGTGCATGTTAATCTATGGGACCAAACCTTCGTTATTTCGTCGGAATTCGACTTTCCACCGCTTAATTCGGACAAATGCTGACGGCTGCTGCTACACAAAAGTGTGATAAAGCAGCCCTGGCACTACTCGAGTGAAACCGAAACCTGAGTGGCATCGCCATCATCATCAACTAGTGGGGGCGACCGCAGCGTCACCGAATGTCGGCGTCTTCTTTGTTCTCCACTCAAGGCCTCAGACGCCATTTTCCCTTGTGTTGTCGTGTCGGAACCATCTCTTTTTGCGGAGTTCTCTTTTTCTTCCATTGTGACCGTATTTGCATGCCACCACCATCGTGCGCTACAGTGATGGCAACGCCGAAAAACGGCAGAACTACGACGCGAAGAACTTGGCAACTAAAGTGGAAATTTTGGAAGCACTGAAGAACGGCGAATCGCGATAGCAGGTTATGACCAAGTACAACGTGAAGCGGAGCACGTTAGGAACATACGTGAAAAATGAACAACAGATTCGACAAGCCTTCGAAAGCGAGAAGCTTCATGCCTTTAGAAAGCGGTTGCGAACCGCAGCTCATCCCCAGCTCGAAGAAGCTTTGCTCTGGTAGATTACCAACTGTCGCAACGCGCATCTGCCTTTGAGCGGACCTCTCATCATGGCACAAGGTGAGAAGTACGCTGCCATGATGAACATTGAATTGTTCAAAGCGTCAGAAGGGTGGTTTGCAAGGTTTCGAGAGAGACACGAACTTGTCTTCAGGAGTGTGTGCGGCGAAAAGGCCAGTGTTGACGAAAGCGTGACCACCGAGTGGAGAAATGTGAAGCTGCTGGAGCACATCGCCGCATATGAACCACGTGACGTGGTCAATGCAGATGAAACTGCTCTATTTTTCAGAGCTGTGCCCGACAAGACAGTGACTTTCAAAGGGGACGCGTGCATTGGTGGCAAGAAGTGCAAGCAAAGGATAACTGCTTATTGCCGCCAATATGACTGGCACGGAGCGCTTGCCACTACTTGTCGTCGGAAAGGCGCTTAAGCCGCGTTGTTTTAAGAACGTCAAAAGCCTTCCTGTCGAGTACACAGCGAACAGGAAGGCATGAATGACATCGGACATTTTTCGCGGCTGGCTGCAGCAGTTGAACCGGCAATTCACGTCGAAGGACCGCAAGATAATTATGGTTGTTGACAACTGCAGTGCCCATAACTGTACAGTCGTACTGGAGAGCATCAAAGTAGTTTTTTTGCCGCCCAACACTACGTCTGCTCTTCAGCCGATGGACCAGGGTATCATTCACTACGTGAAGTCAAAGTACCGCAAGCACCTGCTAGAGCGAATGATCCTACGCTCAGAAGCTGGAAAGTTGTATCAAGTGGACTTACTCGGCGCAGTGCACATCATCGCCCACGTGTGGAAAAACACTCCGCCGCAAGTCATCGCCAACTGTTTTCGGCACAGCGGTTTTGTGAAGCCCGAGCATGCAGCAGTAGCTGACGATGGCATCGAGGAGGTGTCAGCCTAGTCCACCGACGATGACTGCCCGACTTTCGATGCTGTCCTTCCCACAGATGTGACCTTTCAGGACTACATCGCGATTGATCATGGTGTCGCCACGAGTGGTCTCCTGACCGATCAAGAGATTATTAATCATGTCACGGGCGCCCATGAAGACCACGATTCCGACGAAGAATTATGCGAGGAGATATAGCCGCGACCTCATCGCACCTCACGGGAAGTCTCGGAGGCGCTGTTAATATTAGAGGACGCTTGCCTGAACACTCCCGACAGCTTGCGTGCTGTTGGCCATTTGCAACAGTTAAGAAAAATTGTGATGTCAGCCGGAATCTGCGCGAAAACGCAGACGAGAATTACAAAATCCTTCAACAAATAAAGGTATACTTCTGCAGCTTAATTTTAAATGTTGTTTTCCCTGTTCATTCGTTAATTCGGCATTCGGTTAATTCGGACAGTTTTTCCGGTCCCGTGAAATCCGAATTAACGAGCTTTTACTGTATTCCTCCAGCTGCCATTATATTTGAGGCACCCTAGACGAATCAGATACCTTTTGTGATATAAAAATCCAACCATTACTGGGCAAACAGTATAGCAAAACATACTGTACAAGTAGCTAACACTAAAGAGTACAGAAATGATGAGCTGCACTCAGTCAGTACAATGTGCCGTACGGCTTAAGTTGGCCTTCACTCAGTGTTCGTTATATCCGAAAATTGATTACAAATGATTATTCCTAACACTATATTTATTGCAATTTTTTATTTGTCATAATCGATATCATTATACCCGAGTTTGTTATATCGAGGTTTGAGTTCATATTATTTTTATAGGTGTTTCAATGGAGGATTTCTGCAAAACACATCAAATTGTGTTCTAGAATGGGATGCATGTTTGCTACATACAGTGCTTCCTCGCTCCTCCTGAGAAACGACTGCGTTGTGGACCCGAGGGGACCACCTCGTATCTTTTGAACAAAAGGTGTCAATTGTCTTTTCTTGTGAGAAAATGATTTTCACAAAAAGGATTAACCACTGTTTTCACTAAAGCCCTGCTCCCTGACAAAAATGGAGTTCTGTATGTGAGAAAATTAGTTTCTGCATTAGAACTTTACTGCTGCCGGATGCTTGAGAACGCGCCTACTGCAGCGGGCACTGCACCAGTAATGTTTATGTTTTAACACTGGGGAGATGCAGACTAGAGCAGGTCAGCACAACACCGCATCAAGCAGAGAGTTTCCTAAAACTAACTAGAGGGTACACTGGCGCTGCTATTGTTCAGCGACCATGGGAATGATGGGTAGTACAGGTATTTGCCCAGTCTTCGTACTTGCGGGTGCAGTCACACTTGTGGCTTCGTTTATTGATGTGTTTCGGTATTGTTTCGAAGAAAAGAACGAACCCTTTTGAGCTTCGTGACCCTATTCAATATGGTAAGCCAAAAATAATAAGGTGGTGAAGCGCAATCGCTGAACATTTGTTCATTTTTGTTTCGTGAAAAAACAGCTTCAAAGCCCCACACCAACAGACACGAAGTCAGAAATAGAAAGATTAGACAAATCTGTGTACTACCTATCATTCCCATGCTCGCTGAAGCGCTGTGCGTTGCAGCTCCCATAAAAACCAGCACCAGAGTTCCCTCTAGTGTGTATTTAAGAAACTCTATGGCATCAAGAACACTGTTCAGAGTTCTTAAGTTAGTTTAATTAAGCAGGCAGAAATTAGTGCCTCTTAGACTAAGTTCTAACGCCCTTAAATCAATTTGCTTATGCTCCTTGTTTTTCTTGAGATTAAATAATGCATACGTTTATGCGATTAATGAGGTATAAGGGCTTGTTCTCAGATATTACATGTTTCGGTTGGTGGAACTGCCAGACCTATTGAACTGCTTTTGACCCCAATGCCTCCTAGTCATGAGCATGTCCGGCTAATCACAAATGAACTAATTATTAGTCGACAAAGGCATATCAACAAACTTCGTGCAGTCTACTCAGGCTGACCAATAATTCAGTTTGTACACTGTGAATGCATCGTCTTTCAAGCATGGTGCAGCTGCATTTGCCGAGAACAGGCTAAAACAGAGTCCATACTCACTGAGCTTGCCGTAGTTCAGATAGTAGAAAAGCAGCGAAGAGGCCACACAAAACTGGATCAGTGGCGTGAGGCCTGCGTACTTGGGCTGAACGTACTTCATCTGCCAGCGCCAAAATGCTGCAATAGAAGACAGAGAGCAACCATTTGGAATATGTCCGATAACATGTCTCGTCATGACATTGGATGCGCATGCAGAACACTGCTCCTGTCTCCAAACCACCTAGGTTATTTCGTTTAATGTGCAGGCAATAAATTTTCAGGGGCTCAGTTAATTTAATGCAGCAATAAAGGAGAGTCATCCTTGCAAATGCTTAAAGGGACACTAAATTCAAATAAAAATTTACGGCAGAGTGAAAGCTCAATGTATGACATCTAAAACGACAATACTATCAACAGCAGTGCCCTACTTACCGAGAAATTGAAGTAAATGCACAAGAATACATGCGCCGCAGTAGGACATTCTCGAAACAATACCAATGATGGCCGACGAGCCACCTACACTTAATCACTAGTAATCGATCTAGCTGCACTAAATAAACCTTCCGTGCATCCAGAGAAGCAATAAAATGCTGCTTGTTCGTTGCTGTTTGATTCATGAAAAAAAAATGCCGGACATACTATGGGGAATGACGCGAGTGGTTCAAAAATTCAATTTTGGCGTAGTTACACTAGAAAGGTCGTGCCATCCAGCGGTGCGCAATTGAACAAAAACACGTCTGCCATATAGGAGCCAATGGCAGAAAATTGATCAATGGCTGTTGTTGCTGCTGTGGCTCCCGCTGCTTTCGTTCTGTCTACTAGTGTCGGCGATTGCGCAGTAAAGTTGGGCAACGCTGTGCACGTTAAGAGTGACCCGATTCTGTCTGCTTCTTGAGACGGGTAATTTGAAGTGCACTAACCCAATGCGAGCCACTAAAACATGATTTTATTTAGAAAGAAGCCCTCCTTTGGCACAAAAGTAGACTGCTATTTCAACAATCAACGTCGCCTTAATAGTTTCCTTTAGTGTCCCTTTAATATATGGGCATCTGAAATGATACGCCACCTTGAAAAAGACAAGTACACTTGTGAAAATGTCGGCTCCAGCACCCATCCTATGTTTACGTATTTCTCATCATAATTATGTGGGACTTACTCCTCGGGGCTGGTGACAAGGTTTCGGCAGAACTCTTCGCTGGCACTGATCTAAAGACAAGGCTAGAACAACATGTACTCATGCAAATGCACACTCGTGCTTGCTGCAGCTGGGCAAGCAAGGACCATGCAAATAATAATCAATCAATTATTCAATCAATCATTTAAGGTGCCCTGGAACCATGAGGTCTTGGTGCTGGTGCACGCAAAAATAAAACAATAAACACAAAAAGCAACAAAACCATACATAAAATACAAATAAACAATACAGTACAGACTCTACAGACTATACAGAAAAACGAAATAAAGCGTGAAAGTACACAGAAAAAATGAATAATAATGACTGAGGTAAAAGATTTCTTGTTGATAAGTAAAGTGTAAGGCCACAGTCCCCAAAACACCACTCCTTTTGCGAGATGACACTTGGCAGGCGTGAAAATGTGCGAAAAGAAATTCAGCTGGAGACACCACCTTGGGACTCCCACACCAAGCACCGTGATGTCGCAGATTTCGACGGCGTCTAATGGGCCTTATAAAATTTCTAATCAGTAAAAATAAGTTCACTGCCATAAACCTAGCAAACAAAGTTTCCGAAAATTTCATAGAGCTTATGTCACAAAAGCATGAAAGATACATTTTGAAATTAATGACCTCACACGCCAAGATTCTGGCACAAAATTTTAAAATGAAAATTCCGAGACGTTTTGTAAGGTTGAACAGTGCAAAGTCCCTGCACTGCAGAAAATAAAATAGTGCATACGGGCTGATAATGCAATCCACTTCGATGTGACATGAACCAAACCACCTTTTTTTTTTTTTTTCAACAAACTGACAGAAAACAACACTACCAATGAAAAACATGCACAATTTCCGACTAAAAGATGAGATGCGCATTATTAGCCCGTACGCACCAATCTATGCCATTACGGCAAGGCGAGATTGTGAGCATCAAAGTTGCGCCAGAGTTAGGTTCCATAAGAACACTTAACAATGGTGCCAAATTCAATTCGGCACATCTTTCTGACAATTGTTCTGTACTACTAGAAAAAATCCATGCGGGATTTAACATCCCAAACCACATAATGACTATGAAGGACGCTGTAATGAAGGGCTCCAGAAATTTCGACCACCCGCTGTTCTGTAATGTGCTCTGACCTCGCACGGCACACGGGCCTCAATCATTTTGCCTCGATCAAAATGCAATCACCACAGTCGGGATCGAACCCGCGACCTACAAGTCAGCAGCTGAATGCCGTAACCACTATGCCATCGTGGTGGACCCTCTTTCAGACAATGCATGCTTCAAGAAAAAACCCCCACCTTCACTGGCCAACAAATGCTGTAACCCTGTAGAGCGCCTGGTGACTGCACATGAAGATAATTGACGGTTCAGTTCGATTCGTCTGCACCATCCAAACCAGTTCGTAAGGCATTGCACCTTGCCGCTTGTTTCAGTGGTGAAGCAGTGGTGCTCCCCGAACCACGCTGTTCTTTCAAAACACACAGGAGAGGTGCAGCACTGGTTCACAATTTTTCCTGCATCCTCTCCTCTGACGTTACCCGCTCGGTGCTGCCGTGCACACTAGCGGCGGAGCAGATGCGGCATTCATGCATAGGAAACGCTTGCACATCTGCTGTTTCTAAGCAGTGTAGAGTGTGGTTGCCCTTCACGAACAGTCCAAATACACCATTTGCCATTTCTTGAGGTTGCATAGATGGCATAAATTAAAGCAAACAAAAGCAAAACCCGAACCACTGTGCTCGTGCTGCACTATACCTGAACTCTTCGTACACAGCCCTGAACTCGTTCAGATTGGTGAAAGAGCTGGATGTAGCGTGTAGCTGCTGTTCCGGTTAAACCCGAGCAAAACGAGCGTAATGACTCACCCCTACTACAGAGACCAGCAAAGGCCCTCGGGTTCTTGTCCCGCCTGGCCAGCCAGGATGGAATCTCGCCGAGTCGCAGCTCCGAAAAGGGAGTGTCCGCTGTTAGAAAAAAAAAAAGTAAAGACGAGTTGCCAAGCCTCGAATGCATTTCAGCAACCACGTGTATGGTACTTCACTTCAAGTCTTGAGTACACCCTGAAGAACACTTGCGCCCAGTTGGGCGTCTCCATGCCACCCAATAATATTTATCAGCTGCCTCGCTCTAGTTTTCATTACTTGATAACTGTGCACCAGCCACTTCCCTATCCTGATAGATGCCATTTTGACCTGAAAGTACTAGAGACATGTCCCAATGATTGGAAGCAAGGAAAGAAAGGTGCACAAGATAGACGATTGTCGTGCGTCAAAAACACACCCCAGGAGGTGCAACAGTTCAAGAGTGTAGGGCAACACTTTTCAAAACTATGCAACACTTGCAGTTACAGCCTCTGCAATTCAGTGCCGGTGCTGTCTTTTTATGGCCTTTTAACCTGCAATGTTTCTTTGAAAGAATAACTACATCACATATCACAACCCCAGCTCATGAACGTAGCAGACAATATATATATGTGTATGTGTGTGTGTGTGTGTGTATATATATATATATATATATATATATATATATATATATATATATATATATATATATATATATATATATATATATATATATATATATATATATATATATATATATATAGTGCTGCGTAGAAACCACTACATTTAGTGATTTAGTGTCCTATTGAAGAATCACATAACGCAAGACACAGGGATGAGCAGCGGTAACACGAGAGCTGTTCCATTGGTGAAAACGTCTAGTCAAGACAACTCTACCGATTTCAAGATCGCGCAAGCTTCATTTTTTACTGACATGCTAGCCTTTGTCATTCTATAACTACATTATGACTGCTCACCATTTAATGACGCATAACTAATCAACTCACAAGAGAATAACTGAAAAATGACACAGCATTCGCAACATGGTATATATTAAACGCCTCGCCTATCACTTAGATTCGAAATGCGTGCAAAGGCGCTGTTCTGAACTCATCCTGACCTACCCACAGCAAACGACCCTCGTTGATACATTAGAGTTCTTACGCCACTGCCTAGCAGCCAGAGTATCACCCGAAATCGTTGTGACGATTCCCAAAAGCTTATATGCAGGACAACTAGGTGAGGTTAACCATGAAGAAACAGACTTATAACAGTGGTGACCACTCTTACTGGCGTTGTAGACCCTGACCTTTGTTCTATAATAGGAGAATTTATATCTGAAAATGCTAATTGAGATCAAGTTATAAGTTTATTTAATAATAATATTATTTTGATTAGATGAATGTTCTGATGGAGGAAAATTTAATATTCATTCAATTGATGAATTTGTAAAACTAGAAAAATTATTTTTTCCCCAATTCTTAATTAAATAATAATAATTAATAGAATAAATCTTACTAATGAAATTAAAGAATCTAAAGAAGATAACAAATTCCATTTAGAGAAAAAATCAGGATAGTCTGAGTATCGTCGAGGTATACCCGCAAGACCTAAGAAGTGTTGAGGGAAAAAAGTTAAATTTACTCCTATAAAAATAATAACAAATTGAGATTTTGTTGAAATAGAATTAAGATTTGTTCCAAAAAATATAGGAAATCAATGGACGATAGCCTCTATAATAGCAAATACTGCTCCTATTGATAAAACATAATGAAAATGAGCTACTACATAATAAGTATCATGTAAGACAATGCCAATTGAAGAATTTGCTAATATAATTCCTGTTAGTCCTCCAATAGTAAATGAAAAAACAAACCCCAAGGCTCACAATATTTAAGCATTAAATTTAATATTAGAACCATGTAGAGTTGCAAGTCATCTAAAAATTTCAATTTCTGTAGGAACGGCAATAATTATAGTTGCTGATGTAAAATAAAGTGCAGAGCACGACACCTTTTTTCGAGTCGCATTCTGATCTGCCATTTGCGCCCTGTAGTAGAATGGAAACTGCAAGTTGGTGAGAAAACCGAATGGGACCTTGCACAGAGAAAAGTGGTTTCAGAACAAGCACTTTCGGAACTGCGGATTAACCTCACGTTTAGAATTGCGGCCGTCGGTGAGGACTCACTGTTTGGACGGTACAATGTCCGATCGCTAACAGAAAAGCCAAGCATGAAGCGGCTCCGAAACGATTTGTTGAAAGCCTGTGCGTGTCGGAAAGTGTTCAGGCTGTGCTAGGGCACGAAGCAACGCAACCGCAAAGGCAAGGCACGAAGAAAAGCCGAAAACCCGCCAAGTTTACGCCACCGTTAAGAAACAACCGCTAAAGGCACCGAAGAGCACTCTAAGCTCATCTCTTTGCGAGGAAAACGCAGTCTACCGGCAAGCCAAGTGGAAACACGAGGCTTAGGGGTATACGCTCACGGATGGACCTCCAGAAGGGCGATTGTAAGCGTAATGGCTCTACAATGAGGCTGGGCCTTGTAGGACATTGTACTCACGTTTTCCGTAGTAGCGAGACGGGTCGTAAGGTCCGTGGACCCTAGGGTTGTATTCGGGAGGGTAGTCGCCGAAGGCCATCACTGCTTTCGATGAAGGTGAACGGAAAGGCAAGCAAGCAGTCGGCAATGTCACGTGATGAGTTTCGCTACCTGCTGGACTTCTGATAGTAAAAGCAGCTGTGAAGCCAGATGATCGGGTATGGGAACGCAATAAACATCTATGGTAAATATATGACCATCAATTTGCGTCTAATAAATGTTACAGTGCATATAAACACTACAAAGATCAGGTTATACAACGCACGTTTACGACATAAATAAAAAAGGCTTCCCCAATGACCATTCATTTTTTTTTCTCTACGGCGATGACGTACACTTGTTTCTTATAATGTACAAATAAAGTTATCTTATTGAACCTATTGTGTCTTATGTACGAATCAAGGAGGTTATACTAAATCTTTTAGTATAACCTCCTTGATACAAATATAACTTTCATTCAAGATTGCATGACCACCAGGCGCGTGTCCTCAGAGATCTGCTTGCGAAGAGATAGACACAGTATGCAGTCAAGGAGGATTTGAAAAAATTGCTGGAGTGGAAATGGTTGCGCAGAAGTGAAACCGTTCCTCTGGCAAGATGGCGGCTGTAGCGGCCATCTTACTAGGGGCATAATAAAGCATCACCGATCAGCGTTTAAAAACGGGCCGTTACCCTCGCACGCCCAACGAGTTTAATGTGGGAACTTTTTCTGGTCACATAGTGCTCCAAGTGCGTCTTACAGTTACTAGTTTTTCTTAGCGAGCCTCTAATGGGAGGCAAAGTTCTTTGAAGATTCAGTCATCCATACTCGTTTCTGTATGTTATTTCGTCGGAAACAACTATCTTTTAATATAGAACTAACGCTGCACTTACATAACATATCAAAGCCACTTGATCTTCAAGTGGGCACTATCAGAAAAGAGCATGTTTCCGCCATCTTGGCAGTGGCAAAAGCTGGCTTCACTTCTGCTGGCAAGGCAATGCAGAAGCTTCCACTCCAGCAATTTTTCTTTAATCCTCCTTGTATGCAGTGCGTGTGGAGAGGAAGAAGAAACTGCCGAACACTGGATAATGTTCTGTAAAGGGCTTCACCCTATAGTTCAGGATGACGGCGCAGAGTTTTTCAAAGCACTGGGGTTTAGGGACCGGGAGGGTAAAATAAACTTTAAGCGGGTAGACTTAACTAGAAGGAGGTTATCCGATTGGTGGCTAAAGTCAAGGCACGAGTGAAAATTAAACTCTTCACCGCAAAGTACGAATCCTCAAACTCACTTTTTAAAGAAAAAAAAAGTAAATATAGTTTTTGGTTCACTAGGTATTACGGCTTAGTGGCGCTAGCCACCGCCCAATCTAAAGGGTACAGCCATATCCATCCATTCATTCAGCTTCGCTCCAGCCATAGCGCTAGCCGAATGAGCGCGAAAGCGAATCCAACGCAATCCGTCACTTTTTTTTTTTTTTTTTTTCGCTGCCGCCGCCCGTGGTCGGCTGTTCCTGTTTTGAGCGCATAAATAATCGGCGGCTCGATCGGCCCAGCAGTGCATCTCTCTCTCCGAGCATCATCCCGTCCTGTGCGATGGCGGCCAAGGAGCGACTGGACACCATCCGCAAGCACCTTCAAGGAGCCGGCAACAAGTCCGGCGATGATGCACGCTCCCAGGACGGCGGTGCCGCGGCGAAGGGCGTCTGCCCGCCGGTGGCCAGGACCACCACGATTCCCAGACGAAGGTGAGTTTTGTGTGCGCGCCTTGCTTCTCTTTCACGTGGACGCCCATCCTGCCACTGAAAGGGTGGGCTAGAGACGGGTGAATGAGCCCGATTACTGCGCGGGCAGGGGCAATGTACTGGGCGACGTTTTCCACTTCTGACGCGCGGCGCGCGCGCACGAAAGTTGTTGCTTTCACCTGTGACGCTAGTCTCGCTGAGCTGATCTAGTGGCTAAGCGATCTGTGTAGCGTGCCTGTGAGTATTGCTGGCTACGGATCAAATCTTCGTTCTCCAAGCCCAAGCGACAGGAAATGCGGTGGAGTTATAGAAAGGTTGAAAGGAAAAAAAAAAACAAACACTGAGGAAACCAGACCGGCACGCTGAGCGCAGTTTGTTTTGCATTTGACGCGCGCACGTAAGAAAGCGTTCGCGCAAACCCAGAGGCGGTGTTTACCCCGCATTCAGGTTATCCCAGTGTTTACACGAACGCGATACTGAACTTTCGGAAGTAATCTGGGTGGTTGATAACGCTTCACTAGACTGTGATTACGTGTTTGTGTTGACAGAGAAGTCTGTGCCCCATCGGAGCGGTTGACCGTCCTGTCACTGACAAGATAATTTAGTTTGGGCAATGTGGGAGGCGCTGATTCTTTCCGTTTGCTTTACACATCGACGTCCCCGTATTTCTCCCAGTCGTGTCTATCTATAATTTGTCGCAGTTGTCTCCAGTTGTTACCGCTGTGTGCTTTCCAGATATGCCGTCCATCATTCCGCCCGCATTGACATAGCGCAGCAGCTGCTGTACGAAAAACTGTATAGCGTTTCGACACAGCTGTTTGAGACTAACTAGCTGTCTTTCGTAAAACTCGTGCAGCTTCTGAAGATCGTTGCATACGTTGGTTGCGCGCTTGTGTCTGTTAATGACATGTTACTAGTTGTCACAATGAAGACGGCGTACTCTTCAGTTGTAACCCACGCGTTTTGTCGCAGGCTGACGCAGGGTTGGAGAAATTAGGTGCCTTTTCTCATCTTCTAACCACTACCACTATGGTATAGTACAGCATAGCAAGCGGGGTGGGAAATGGGAGTGAGGGTGGGGAGGAAAGAAAGGAAGAAAGTAAAGTGTGAGTCACGGCATGGCTTTGTACAGTATATATAGTTTAGTGAGGGTATGGGTAAGGGAGTTTAGAGGGTGAACCGTAGCATAACCAATAACCGTGTACAGCATAGCGTATATCGAGGGGTTCAAAAGAGAATCGAGAAGAGAGAGCTATATAGAGAAATGCCAAGTTGAAAGAAGATGTAGAAGAGGTAAAGAAATATGAAATAGAAAATACGAAGAAAAGGTTGCACAAATAACTCGATCTGCATTCTCTAGGTGGTTGCGCTTGCTTTCCAGCTCCGCTGTTTACTGACGATTGCATGGAAGTGGCCTTAATTTTTTTCTTCTCTTTTTTCGCTTCTCAGTCTCGCGGCCATGCGTGACTCCAAATCGCCTCGGCTAACGTAACGCGCGTAGAGTCTGTCGCAACATGTGTCGCGCGTTTATATCGCAATTTGCGACCGAATCGCCTGTTTTGTTAGACGATGCAGCTCTGACATCGGCGCTGTTTCTTTTCTAGTTCGCGTGCGATGTATACACTCGACCACAACTTTTCTTGGCACTGAAACAGAGATAATAAAAAAAACACCTATTGCTGATGATGAATTCGGTATGGTGATGGGACCTCCTACTCCGGTAGACCATTGGTGCTTGCCGCCATCCTGGCTAGGCCGACCAGGGCCTGTTGCTGCATTGGGTCAGAGCGGGACATGGTCACCTCCCACTCGACTGTCGGTAGGATTATGATTGGCCTATATATTGGTATTATTTTAACACTCCCAGAAGGCCATATGAAATAAAGTGGCCGTCTGCGGACAGAATTTACACTGCGGATTGCACATCGAAGGTGGGAATGGTAAAATCGCTGAACGATTAGTGAATTAAACGTGAGCGATTGATCGATTACTCATGACCGATTTCTGCTTTCCGATTCATCAAATTAATCGATCATAACACTTTGATTATTAAGAACGGCAACCGCCGCCCTAACGCCCAACACCACCCCTTGGCTGGTGCACGTGAGAGCGACGCGAGTGATGCCGAGATGCAGAAGTCATGCTCAGCCAAGGTTTTCCATTACAGCGCATATTAGTTCGCTAGTAGAACGAGCCCCGAAGCCGTCTGCGGTCCTACCTCATAGAGTCGAAAATGAACTCGCCCTGGTCTATGGCGTCCACCGCCAAGCCCTCGATCCCCAAAGCGCGGGCATGAGAAGGCGTGGGCATTCACTTCATCGAATGACAGCAGCAAGGCAATGCGTAAACGTTCAGCAGAGGTGGTTGTTGTTTTCTGTACAGTTCTGGACGTGCAAGCGGCATCGTCCAGTTGCTTATTTTGTCTGTGTTCGTTTTCGGCTCCGCACCGTTTCATCGTATTTCATCGCACAAACTCAACCTTCTTGCCTTTGATGTGTCTATAACATTCTGTTAAGTAGATCAGGCTGGCTCTGGCAGACCAGTGGTTACAGCGCTCAGCTGCTGACACGAAGGTCGGGTAGGGAGGGGGGGGGGGTTCAACCAACCTTACGTATTCGTGCATGCTTCCATGGCCTTTTGCCATGGAACCCGAATTCACTTGATTAAATTTATGTGCTGTGATTTGGAAGCACTCAAAATGTCCGAATGAGGGCTGAACATACCGGTAGAAAATCCGTCAAGAGAGAGAGGAAAAAAATGTGTATTGTACTGATGTGTACTAATGTGTACTGAATTTACGACCTGTAGTACTAATTTAGAATGACAAAATATACTGCAGTTGCGAGGAAACTGCGTCGATAAATAACGAAACACCTCGCGGATGGCCACAATCTCTGCCGCCGTTGATGTTGTTGGATGGTCTATAGACGGAAGCGTTCGCTAGTCTTTAAACTTGCGTTGACGAACGCCGCTGCAAGTTGAAGCAGTGGGTAACACAGACCCGTCAGTAAATACATGTGTGGAAGAGGCATATTTTTAGGTATAAGCAATAAAGTTCCACATTCCTGGAATTGATAGGTGCACCTCAGATCTTGATAACGTCCATGCTGGTACCTCTGCTGCTTTCGCCGGAGCAAAGCCGCGACATTGTATCTTGCGAAAGTGCTGTCCGGTCGGTCGGTATAAGGATCGCCGATAAAGGACGACGGCCGTCACGGATCAACGGCCAGAGATATATACTCTTAAAGGTTCGCATGAAAGATAGCTGTCTATTGGAGTTATGAGTGTTTCCGCAAGAACTTCCATCGTTGAAGTACAGCGTGGCAGTACAAGAGATGTTCTCAATTTTGAAAAGCGCAGGGCAACAATACGAGGAAAGAAAGACGGAGAGGCAAAGAGCGCTGTCTCTCTGTCTTTATTTCCTCCTATTGTTTCGCTGCCTTTTTCAAAATGAGTACTATGAACCAGCTAGCCCAAACCAAAGTACTTCTCGATGTTCTCAATGCCTGATGTTGCAAGCTTTGCAATGTACGCAGGCAGTACGGGCGAATACTAGTCACAATGGCGAAGCTATATCGCAGGTAGCCTATACGAAAGATGCCCCTATACAGTCGGAGCAATGACCTTTCTAATGGACCCAATTTCGTGCCTGCTATACATTCAAGCATATGTGTACGAAGCTGCTAAATGTGTCTCTAAGCATCGACGCCTGCTTCGACCCAGGACAAGTTTTGGTCGATCACGACTCCGTTAGGAATCGGTGAAGAGTTAGTTACGGTACCAAAGCGCCGTCAATTGTAATCAGGTAACGCTGCACCGATGTGTGCGTAAATACAAGGGCAGCACACTTCGCAGTCGCCAAATGTAAACTTCGCGAACTCAAATATTTAGCGGTGCCCCGCCACGGTGGTCTAGTGGCTAAGGTACTCGGCTGCTGACCTGCAGGTCGCGGGTTCAAACCCCGGCTGTGGCGGCTGCATTTCCGATGGAGGCGGAAACGTTGTAGGCCCGTGTGGTCAGATTTGGGTGCACGTTAAAGAACCTTAGGTGGTCGAAATTTCCGGAGCCCTCCACTACGGCGTCTCTCATAATCATATGGTGGTTTTGGGACGTTAAACCCCACAAATCAATCAATCAAATATTTAGCGGTGCCGTCTTGCGCGAAGCTGTGGCCGTGGCACGCCAGAAGCACACATGCAGATGTCGTCCGCGTACAGACTCATCCTGGCGGTCTCTGGTTCTACACCGGCGAGTCCAATGAGAGTATTGAAGAGCGTTCTCTCTTGGAAGTAAAGCAGGCTGCTCCTTTAGATGAGTAACCACACCAATCGCACCATTTCGGGAGTAACTGCGAAGGAGTAACCGTGCTCTCGTGGTTACTTCTTCGTTTGAAAAGAAAGTGTTGTGTAGGCACTGGATGGGTCGTTTGCACACGGCGCAGACATTTCTGCATGCAGTTACTAAAAAAACAAAAAAACGGGCGCTTACTTCACAAGGAGGAAACTGCCCCGCCTAGCCGTGTGCAATCTTTTGCACGTGTTCCGTCTTTACGAGGAGCAAAGAGCCCTTTTCGGGGGTAACTGGGCAGTTCCTCCGCAAAACTTTTTTAAAGTGCTGGGAAGAGAATGCCACCCTGAGGAACACAGCGAAAGACTTCGCGTCGACTCTTCATCTGCCGTCGTCATATGTATGGTCCGGCCTGTAAGGTAATTCATTATCCACAAAAGCATCCTGCCTGCAGTCCCTATAGCTCCTCAAGTGCGTCGAGGATGGTGTCATGCAATACATTATCATATGCACCTTTAACATCCCCCCGAAAAAGTGCTCCTGTGAAGCGTCGATGCTTCTTTTTATGTTCAAATTATTGCTGAGCTTATTGATGTGCCATAGTTTACGCAGACCTAGAATGGTCGCTAGGCCCCGCCGCGGTGGTCTAGTGGCTAAGGTACTCGGCTGCTGACCCGCAGGTCGTGTGTTCGAATCCCGGCTGCGGCGGCTGCATT